ATTCTTAAAGTACGCCCAATTGAATACATTTGAGCTAGTGGAAAATCAGAACATAAGCCACCAGCACCATGAGATTGGATGGATCGATCAAGCACCTTCAACAACATATCTGGCACGATGGCCTGCGAATTTACATCGCATCAATGAAGTGATCATTATAAACCATATCAACAGAGATAAAGCTGAACACACAAAATAATAATCCGTTAATTACCTTGGCCATTCCAATTTCCTTCAAAGCACCTTTCGCACCCACTTTGTCAATCATGTCGGCAGCATTAAGAACGAGAAATCTAGCTTGGTCAATGATCATGCGAGAATGAGCTATATCGGATAATATGGTTCCATGTTCGGCTAGAAGCTTTCCAAAGGTGCGACGAGAAGGATCTGTAACGCGTTTAAGCATCAAATCCAAACCAAGCTCAGCCATGCCAATTGATCTCATACTAGATAAAATAATAGTTAAATAAACAATTAAACCTTATTTCCAAATATTTGATTTCTAATACCGATGAATCATTAAAAATCTCACCAATGATGAATTCTGCCAGGTCCCAACCGTCCTTGAATCACCTCAAATCCTCTTCCTTCACCCAACACAATATTCTCCAAAGGCACTCTAACATCTTTAAACACTATCTCGCAATGTCCTTCTGGTGCATCATCATACCCCAAAACAGTTAGTGGTCGAACAACTTTTACCCCTGGTGTATTCGCTGGAACAATGACCAAACTTTGTTGCTTATGCTTATTGCCTCTCGTCGAGGTTTTACCCATTACAAGGTACACTGCACAACGTGGGTTTCCAGATCCGGAAATCCACCATTTACAACCATTGATCACGTAATGATCGTTCATTCGTTGAATTGAAGTTTCAATATTCGTGGCATCGGATGATGCGACAGCTTTCTCGGTCATAGCAAATGCCGAACGAATTTCCCCTTTCAATAGAGGCACTAGCCATTTTGATTTTTGGGCAGGAGTTCCATATTTGGCGAATACTTCCATATTTCCTGTATCCGGTGCAGAACAGTTTGTAGCCTTAAATAAGCATTTGGCACGTTAATGATTAATAATTTTGATTAATCCGATACACATTTTAAATACCTCTGGGGCGATGCGAATGGATCTACCCATAATCTCGGCCATCAATGAATATTCGAGGTTTGTTAGTCCGGCGCCTTCGGGATAATCTTTCGAAAGGAAAAGATTCCAAAGTCCAAGTGATTTTGCCTTGCTTTTAAGTTCTTCCATGACAGGTGGAATCACCTA